AAGAACCCTCAGGATTTACTCTCTTAACAACTTTCATATGTAACATACAACAATGCTAATTATATTTATCATGTTGTACGTCACATCCCTAGTACTTATGTATCTTATAGCTGGAAGTTTGTACCTTCTGACTAACTTCATCTAATTCCTCCCCCCACCTCCCCACTTACTTCCAGTAACCATAAATCTGATCTCTTTTACTGAGTTTGTTTGTTGGTTTGTTTTTGAAGTATAATTGACCTACAACACTGTTAGTTACCATTACACAACATAATGATTAGATATTTCTATACATTACAAAATGATCACCATGATAAGTTATGATCTGTCACCATACAAAGATATTACATAATTATTGACTATATTCCCCACACTGTACGTTTCATACCTGCTATTTTTCTCCTCCCCCTCCTCCCTGCCCTCTGGCAACTTGTTTGTTCTTGGTATCTATGAATTTGTTTCTGTTTTATTTGTTCTTTTTTTTTTTTGATTCCATATGTAAGTGAAATCACACATTATCTGTCTTTCTCTGTATGACTTATTTTTAGCATAATACCCTCTAGGTCCTTCCATGTTGTTGCATATGACGAGATTTCATTCTTTTTTTATGGCTGAATAATATTCCATTGTATATATACACCACATCTTCTTTATCCATTCATCTAGTGATGGGCACTTAGGTTGCTTCCGTATCTTGGCAATTGTAAATAATGCTGCAATGAACACAGGGGTACATATATCTTTTCTAATTAGTTTTTGTTTTCTTCAGATAATGAAGTGGAATTTGTGGATTCCACGAATTACTGGATTGTATGGTAGTCCTATTTTTAATTTTTAAAGGAATCTCCATACTGTTTTCCATAGCAGCTGTACCACTTTACATTCCCACCATCAGTGCATGAGGGTCCCCTTTTCTCCACATCCTCGCCAACACTTATTTGTTGTCTCTTGGATAACAGCCATTCTGACAGGTGTGAGATGATATCTCATTGTGGTTCTGACTTGCATTTCCCTAATGATTACTGGTGATAAGCATCTTTTTACATGCCTGTTGGCCATCTGTGTTTTCTTTGGAAAAATGTCTATTCAGATCCTCTGCCCACTTTTAAATTGTTTTTGTTGTTGTTGTTGGTTTTCAATGTTGAGTTAAGTTCTTTGTATATTTTGAATATTAACCCTTTATTAGATAAATCATTTGCAAATATCTTCTCCCATTCAGTAGGTGGCCTTTTCATTTTGTTGATAGTTTCCTTCACCATGCAAAAGCTTTTTAGTTTGATGTAGTCCCATTTATTTATTTTTGCTTTTATTTCCCTTGCCTGAGGAGAAATATCCAAAAAAATATTACTAAGACCAATGTCAAAGAATGTATTGCCTTATGTTTTCTTCTAGAAGTTTTATCATTTCAGGTCTTACACTTAAGTCTTTAATCCATTTTGAGTTTATTTTTTGTATATGGTGTGAGATAATAGTCCAGTCTGATTATTTTGCATGTAGCTGTCCAGTTTTCCCACCATGTATTAATGAGGCTGTCTTTTCTCTATTGTATCTTCTCACCTCCTTTGTCATAGATTAATTGCCCATATAAGTGTGAGTTCATTTCTGGGCTCTCTATTCTGTTCCAATGATCTATGTGTCTGTTCTTGTGTCAATACCATACTGTTTTGATTACTGTAGCTTTGTAGTATACTTTGAAATCAGGTAATATGATGTCTCCAGGTTTGTTCTTCTTTCTCAAAATTGTTTTGGCTATTTGGAGTCTTTAATTTATTGATATTTTAAAGCTATGCAGTCATGTAACAAACATTATGATGTACCTACCAAATGCCAAGCACTATACTTGTTACTGGACATATAAATGCATAAGGCAGCCTCTATACTAAGGAAGCTCACAATCTAGTGATAGAGAAGTAAATAGATAATCTCAATATAATATATAGCAGTTACACAAAATAAAAGGGTGTTTGCGAAGGTGGAGGTGGTCAGGGAAGCCTTCATAGAAGCGATGCTCTGAACTGGATCTAGTAGTGAGTAGGACTGGCCAGGGAGATGGGAGGATAGCACCTTAAGTTGACAGAACTACACTCAGGAATGCAGTCATGAAATGGCTTGTTGTTGGGATTCTGCAATAAATCTGTTGGGCTGGAGTTTAGTGGGCAATGGAAGGAGAGGGAAAAATGAGATTGGAGAACTAGATAGCAGCTGCAGGGGGGCTTACACACTACTGTTACAACAACCATTTTTTAATTTACTCAACACTACGTGTCTGGCACTGTGCCAAGTACTTTACATACATTATTCCATGAGGAAGTTTATGGTTAAAGAAACTGCAGCTCAGATTGATGAACTGATTTGCCTAGATCATGTAGCTTAGATAGAGGTGGAATTTGAGCTCAGATCTGATTTGTCTCCAAGCATGTATTTCTCTTCTACACATCACACATAGGTGTCTGGAGATCATTTCCCTATAGGCAACGGGAAGCTGCTTGAGGATTTCAAGCTACCATGTAATATGACCAGATTTGCATTTTGGAAGGATCTCTCTGGCAGCAACATAGACAATGAACTAAGAGTGATGCCACACTAGGAGACCAATTAGGAAGTTACAACAAGGGTCCAAGTAAAAAAAAAAAAAAAAAAAGAGAGAGAGCCTAAGCTAGTGGTTCTCATAGTTGGCTGTCCATTGGAATCACATGGGAAGCTTTAAAAAATATATAATTCTCAGAAACTCTGTTTTAATTGGTTTGGGATGTGGCCTGAGCACAAGCATTTTTAAGCCTAGCCAAGATGATTGTATTTGCAGTCAGAGTTAAGAACCATTAGCCTTGGCCAAGTCAGTGAGAGTAGGAACAGAAATAAAGAGATGGACTTGAGTTTTATTTAGGAATTCCAGTCAACAGGGCTTAGTGGTGATTAGATATGTGTGCGGTGGTGATAGGGAGAGGGTAAGAGTGAGGGGAGACTCTAGGTTAACTCTGAAGTTTCTGGTTTACGGTATTGGGAGACTGTGGCTCCAGAAACCAGGATAAGAAACACTGTGGCAAGAGAAGGTTTATAGTGTCTTGAAGTAATGGAATATAGAAGAGAATCATTATATTATATAAAATAATGAATTTTTAAAATACTTGTGATAGATTCTAGCAGAAAACAAATATAAGTACCCACTTTTGGTCAAAGTGAGAAACTAAAACTTTGAAGTCTTTTGAAATAAAATCCTATCCTGCTACCTCTTATGCCTGGTGTTGATGACCCCACTTGAGCTTCTCTGCAGGAAGTCTCACCATTCCTGGCAGCTGTAAGGATCAGGGAGAGGGGCTTGACGATGGCAGTGCGCTATCACAGTGCTAAACTCCAACAACCTTAACGCCACTCATGGGCACTGTCAAGGGATGGGCTCCGCTGGTCTCCTGAGCTCAGAACCAGTCCTAGGAGTAGAGCCAACAGGCAGATGAGAAGCAGCAGCACCTAGAATAATCGGCTGACACTCCTCTAGATTCACCAGGAACTGGGTCAGTGGGAGAAACAAGAGGTGGTTCTCATCCTGGCTGCACGCTGGAATCATCTAGAAAGTTTTATAAAGTACTAATGCCTGGGTTCCACTTCCAGAGACTCTCATTTTCATTGGTCTGGGGTACAACCTGCATATTAGGGTTTTCTTAATTCTCTTGAGTTATGCTAGTGGAAGCCTAGGTTGAGAACCATTGTTTTAGTGCCTTTATGCACCTCTTATCAAATAGATTGCACTCAAGTTAGCAAGTAGGATTTTCTGGGTTATTTAGAATGGCCAGAGAATGCCTTCCTTTTGTCAGAGGAGAAGCAAAAACTACTGCACATGTTAGTAATTTTGCAAGCAATGTTCTCTCAGTGGTCAAAAGTCCACATATAAACTCCCGGATATCAGTGCCAGATGCTATGGGTTTTTACTTCTCAGACAGATGAACTGGCTGCATTCAGGTTCATGGTAACAGAGTCTACTCAGGGAAACAGACCTACGCAAAAGTAATTTAATGTGGACACTAGTTTATAAGTGTTGGAAGAGTTAAAAGGGAAAATGGGCTGGGCAGACAACCCAAAGATGGGACAAAAAGAAGCTATATATGACTTATAGAGCTGGAGGGATCAAGGTAGGAAAGGTTTTTACTCCTCACAGAGTGTGGGCTACCTTTGGGAGTTGGGCCTTGGACGGAGCAGCTGCCTTATAGGAGCTGGAATCACAGAGGTGTAGCCCCAGCTGGAGATGCTTCCTAAAGCTGAGAGGGAGGGAAAGACACCCTGACTTCTCCTTTTCACTAGCTCCCCAGTCTCTCACCTGTGACTCACACTGGCTAAGCTAATAGGGAGCTAGTTGGCAAGAGATCCTCGGATGTATAATCTACAGGACTTTGTACCCTGCAGTACCTTGCAGAGCTGAAGGTTATGGATAGATCTGGAAGCAAACTGGCAAAATGATGGAGGCTACGATTCTAGGCCAGATTCATCCTAGATTCTGAGGGTAGATACGTTTAATACCTGCTCTTAAGTATGTGTGGGATAGAATACAAAGCAACTGGAAATTTCCTCCTTTTATTCCATGTACCTAGGAGACATGCATTAGTAAGTGTTCTGACATTATCAGCTCCTCAGCTGGGAGGTTCACATTTGTGGAATATATTCCAATATAAACATATAGAAAATCTCTTTGAGATGCATAAACCAAAGAACAGATACAGATTCCACAAAGGAGGAGACTTTGGATACGGGTAGTCTCAACGTGCAGAATTTTACTGACACTGAACAGTTAGTGGTAGTGTAACAGCTGCATTGAGGGTGCTATTTTCAGGTAAGTGGTAAATCTCATTTCCACAAGCCAATTTGCAAGAGTAAAATTTAGAAGAATGATTTTTTTCTCACTCAGAAACTACCTAGGCTACATGTACTGAAAAACAATTAAGAGTGGATTTGTCTTTATGCAAAGCTGCCACTGAGGGCATCATATGGGCTTCAACTTCAGGACTTCTTACCTGTTGGTGGTGATACTGTATTGTTCAGAAGGGTCTTGCTTATTCTACAACAGCATCCTTGGTTAAGACAGATGAGTTTGGTCCCAGATGGCCCATCTGGCTGGAACACTGATGAGAGGCACACCTTGATGCATTTGGAGTAAGCCACAGATATGGATGCAGCAACTGTATCATTTTCCTAAGGAAGCATTAATCTGAGTCAGATAGAAAACCAGAGTATTTTTCTATCCCCTCTTGAAATGTAAGAAGATTAGGAAGCACAAGATAACTCTGGGAAGACTGCAACTTAGTTTTAGTTGCTTATTCATGGGTCTGTTCTGATTGAGGTAACTATTACACTGGATTAAAGCCAATTATTTTACAGTGGCTTCTTTCTTCAAAATGAGATTTCTCCAGAACTTAGCAGGTTGACTTCCTGATGACCCACCTTGTTAGGGTTTATGGAACGCTCTCAAGTGAGCAGCAGAAGGGGGATTTTCACTCTCTGGTGAGCAGGATAACACATTAGGCAGTGATCTGCTCTGAAAATACAGAGCACGGAACAATATTTGCTTTAGAAAAATTCAGTATGGGCTAAACATTGACCATGACTGTGACCACATTTGTGAATCAGGGTTGTTTGTGGCTGAGGCAATTCTTCTTGATGGGGACCAACTTATGGTGGAAGACGTGGTATTAGAGGACACATTAACAGCACAGGATAATACAGATAAATATAATCAAGGCATTAAGATCCTAAAATCAAGATGAACATGGCCTTCTCCCAGTCTGTTCCACATACAGCAATTATTTGGCCTGCACCTCTGTGTAGTCCTGCAAGAACGCATTTTCTACTGATCATTTGTTTCAAACAAAGCCAGAGCTTTAAATGATTAGGCTAGTCTGAAAATAGTCGGTCCTTTGTTAGCATCTCAGGAGCACACAGTATCTCCTTTAGATCCTGGCTTCCAAGAAGAGGTGGGGTCCTTACCTTGACAAGTTGGTTTTCTTGCTGAGGCTCAACTAATAATGATAATGGATAGAGGCACTAGGTATACTGTGTTTCATTGGCAGGGTTATTATATCCACTGAAGACTTGACGGGTTGTACCCTAGTACGAGAACTTTCTTGCGTGGGCGGTGTGTGTGTGTTTAGGATTTTGAACCTAAATACTACATGACGTGGGAATTGCCAGGAATATCTCATATAGCCCAACTTAGCAAATATCCAGTAGGGTTTTTCATTGGTTCTCCTGTTTGTTGTAACCCTCATTTTCATCAAGGCCAAAGTCAGGTTTTAGAATATTTAAATTTTAAGTTGTTAAAAATTTTTGTCAATTGATTTGTGTTAACTCCCTTTTATCTCTCACCTGCTCCTACACTTGGGGAGCAGTGCAGAGCCAGACTTACTATTGTGTGTTAAAGAATTTATTGATTTATTTTACAGCAAGACCTATGATATGGTCCCAGTCACAGGCAACAGAAACAGTCAATCCCTACTGAGGAATGAAATTATTTAGAAGTTTCTCTGTAAAGAAATACAATCAGCTTTCCTGCAAGGATCGTTTTCTCTTCATCTAGAAATTTACATATTTATACAAAACCCACAGACATTTTTATCTTTGCTCTCTCTTTTGACTCCATCCAGGTTTCCAGTGAGATAGTCCCTAATTAAGTGTGGAAATTAGACTTTTATATGCACTTCCCGCTATAAATGTGACATGATATCAAAGGGTTTGTTGTTCTCAGTAATCTCATTTGGCTCCAGCATAGTTCTTTGAGATAATACCCTTGCTAGCTGGTTATATTCCAGATATGTGCAAACCATATTATGCTTCCCTAATCTAAATTATGCAAAGAACCAGACCCTTATTTCCACTATATTGTATAGACACTTGTTTTTATTAAATTGACATCAGTATTTCATCATCTTTGAACTTCTGATTCTGTTTTCAGCTTAAACTTTTTCCCCTCAGGTTTTAAAGTCTACTTCTTCCTACAACATTTTTGAACTAGGACGTATTAATACATTATATGGCTAATTTTGCTGCACATTATGTTCCTCTTCTTTCTCCAACATTCTCTCATTATTGTTACACTTTATTTTTTAAATTATATTTTCATAGTAGGTCAGGGGGTTCTGCCATGGAGTAACATCTTAAGGACTGGGAAGTTTTAATATCACTGTATCTGCAAAGGAAACCATGAAAAAATTGAAAAGACACCCCACAGAATGGGAGAAAATATTTGTAAATGAAGCGATCAACAAGGGATAAATTTCCAAAATATACAAACATGCAGCTCTATATCAAAAACCAAACAACCCAATCAAAAAACAGGCAGAAGATCTAAATAGACATTTCTCCGAAGAAGACATACAGATGGACAAAAAGCATAAGAAAAGATGCTCAATATCACTAATTATCAGAGAAATGCAAATCAAAACTACAATGAGGTATCACCTGACACCAGTCAGAATGGCCATCATCAAAAAGTCTACAAACAATAAATGCTGGAGAGGGTGTGGAGAAAAGGGAACCGTCTTGCACTGTTGGTGGGAATGTAAATTGATACAGCCATTATGGAGAACAGTGTGGAGGTTTCTTAAAAAACTACAAATAGAACTACCATATGACCCAGCAATCCCACTGCTGGGCATATACCCTGAGAAAACCATAATTCAAAAAGACACATGCACCCCAATGTTCATTGCAGCACTATTTACAATAGCCAAGACATGGAAACAACCTAAATGTCCATCGACACAGGTATGGATAAATAGGATATGGTATCGGGTTGGCCAAAAAGTTCGTCTGGTTTTGAGTAAAAATAAAAGACACATTTTTCATTTTCACCAATAACTTTATTGAACAACATATTCATTAATCAAAAGAACTTTTTGGCCAACCAATATATATATACAATGGAATATTACTCAGCCATAAGAAGAACGAAATACCATTTGCAGCAACACGGACAGACCTAGAGATTATCATACTAAGTGAAGTAAGTCAGACAGAAAAAGACTAATATATGATATCACTCACATGCAGAATCTAATTTAAAAATGATACAAATGAACTTATTTACAAAACAGAAAGAGACTCACAGATTTCTAAAACAAACTTATGGTTACCAAAGGGAAAATGTGAGGGGGAGGGATAAATTAGGAGTTTGGGATTAACATGTACACACTAAGATATATAAAATAGATAACCAACAAGGACCTGCTATATAGCACAGGGAACTGTACTCAATATTCTGTAATAACCTATATGGGAAAACAATCTGAAAAAGAAAGAATATATGCGTATGTATAACTGAATCACTTTGCTGTACGCCAGAAAGTAACACAACACTGTAAATCAACCATACTCTAAAAAATTAAAAATAAAATAAAATAAAATCACTGTATCTTTTCTAACCAGTTTAATGACCAAGAAACTATTCAGCCCAATCTATATTTTAGTCGTTCACAGTAGAGTTGTAAACCAAACAGCTGTGGGTTGTCACTGATATAAGTTACATAAATGCATACTGGGAATCCATTAGACATTGGTAGACATTCTTAAATAAATGAATTACTTCAATATCACCACCCTTTCAGAACCAAGGACAGTTACACTGACACCCCCCCACACACACCCCATCTTTGACCTGATCTCAAAAGTTGGGAGTATAAAATGAAAAATCTAAAGGCTCTTGATTATGTAGCCTTGCTTAATGCTTTAAAGTTTTAAGCATCCTGTCCTTTCAGGAGAACTATGCAGAATGTTGGGGTTTGTGCTAATCCTTCAGAAAGCTTGCCTAGGAACCTAATAGGAGTCTATTAACTTTAGTAGATTGACCAAGCCCACTACTATCCTAGAGCCCTTGTGACTGAGGAGACTGGCTTGAGAGGCCCATTTGTGTCTGTCTCAAAGAGCCTAATATCCTGGGAAAATTTAACGGCCCTTGGCTTGGATCTGGTGACAGTAAATTTTGAGGCTTATTTAGCTTAACAGAAATCTTATAATTCTATGCAATTAAGTGTGAGTACACTAGAAAGGCTGAAGAGAGGAGAAGATAGGAGATAAGTGTTTCCCACATTTTCTAGGTGAAAAAAATGTGCAAATAATTTTGAAGAGATAGAGATTTGTGGTCAATTTGATCTGGAATATGATGGGAGCCCGTCAAAGCAATGAAGAAAAAAAATGTAGCCACAGCAATATGCAAAGAAAGGTTATGTTACCTCTGTCACGAGACATATGAATATTTCACCGTTACGTAAAATCATCCTTTATTAGATCCTTCCATGGATTTCTGATGAGCTTTTTTCACCCAAGGTAAAGTGTGAGGACAAGAGACCTGAATTAGGTCCTTGGCATATTCCAACCAACTTTTTATGCTGGATTTGTATTATCCACCCTCATTCTCCCAAATAATCACCTCTCCCTCTCTGCCCAACCTCCCCACTGTCATTGTATTCCTGTGGATTTTGTAACTGGGATGTTCCCTTTCATATGAAAATGTAGCTGGTATCTCTTTGCAAAAGAGATAAGACTAATTGGTTACTTTAACAATCACTTAGTTGTTGAGTCTAGCAGGAAGGGCTGGTTTTTTGGCAGGAAACAGAATTACGTGCTCAAATTCCCAGGCTGTTAGCTAGCAGATGTATGTTCAAATAGAAGAACAAAGAACCTTCTGGAACAAAGTTGAGAGCTCTGGCTATGTTGTCAGTTGGAAGGGGAATCTGACTGCTTTGGCTCAGAGGCAAATGCTCAACTCCATGTGCTCTGACTTTCTGTACCAGTCCCCTCACCTTTCCAACCCCATGCTTCCATCCTGCCGAGAAGATATCACTCTAAAGGGGACACATACGGCTACAAATTCAAATGTTCACCTCACCACGTGCTTGTGCATGTTTATCATTGGGCTAATTACATTAGGCGGCATCAGGTGCTTTCCACCTGGCCTTTCTTTGTGGCTGTGTTACAATCCTATCTCCCCGTTTACAAGACAGGCTCAGGCAGGTCACTGACTGTCTCCTGGCCCCAGTCAGTGGAAAAAGGCCAGCATTCCCTACACAAAGAGCCAACAACCTGTTTCTTGGCATTTGGTTTCTGCTAGAATAAACCCTCCTTTTCAGAATCTTTTACCTTTATGGTATCAGGGGGTAACTAAGAGATCGATATGGCTTGAAAGTGCTCTAGATATTGCT